TGCGAACGAGGTCAGGAATGCGAACGAACGCAACCCGCGTGTCTCATCCGGGCCACGTCTTTTGTAAAATGTGAACGCCGTTTTCAAACAAGCAGACAAACGTGCAAACCAAACATGATGGTAGTGTTTTGAAAACGCAGCCAGCAATTTTAAGCTGTCTCAAATGGGCCCTAAGTATTGTATCGAAAGAACGACCAATTACATACATAGGGCTCCAAATATTATTATTTCAAAAGATTAGCATTCTCTTGCATGAATTTTTTAAATTCACAATCGAATATCAAAATTCATAATAAAATTATAAACCGCATATTTTATTTTTATGAAATTTCCAAGGATTAAATCATGGCAAGAGTAAATATATGAGTTTAGTAGTTTAAATTTTTGCTTTATGTGTTAATTTAATAAAAAAAAAAGCAAAACTCGAATTTATGTGGAATACTTTGATGTGACAAGACAACTTAAAAATTGGCAAAAAGTAGCCGTTTTGTAGCTACAGTTAGGGGTGTAAAATCATACTTGAAGGCTGACTTCGGACCAACCTGAAACAACGTGGGCCAAACCCATTCCATATATTAAAGGAGTGAAAAAGTTCAACCTGAACTTGACAAGCCTACAATCGGCCGACCCGAACCTGGCACGTATAATTCATTTATTTAGCGTAAAGCATAACAAATTTTCACATCGATATGACTTAGCGGTCCGTTTCGGGTCAATTTTAGGTTAACAAGTGAACCAGTGTCTGGCCCGAAATTTTGTACGGGTTAGAATTTCCAACCCAAAATTTATTTGGGTCAATCTAAATATGAATTTTTTGAGTGAAGTTGGGATGGAATTGACATGTCGGGTTAATTTTTGACACCCCTAAGTAGGGTTGTGAATTTAGCTAGAAGATCATAAATTGCTTGAAAATCGATTCAAGTTTTAGCTCGGATTGATATTTGATTGAAATAACAGAGTCAATCTATGAGCTATGAGCCAAAATTTTGGATCAAGTTTTTTTCGAGTCAATCTCGAGCCATACATGAATTAGCTTGAGCTTACTTGAGATTGACTTATGGTATTTTTTATTTATAAAAATTATATATATACTGTTAAGTAAAATTGAATATAACGAGTTACGAGACAATTTAGAACTGAAACGAATCCAAATAACTCAATTTTAGCCTCTTAGTATCAATTTTGAGCCTAACCGAGGTGATTTTGAGATGAAATGGATCTAAATAACTCAATTTCACTTAGCTCATTTTGATTTCGAGTCCGATCGAGCTCGATTCAATTTCTAAACAGCTCGGCTCTAAATCAAGTATATTGAGCGAGAGCCGATTTGGAGCTGCACCAAATCTATTCAAGCCCACCCTAACTAACCTTGAACTCAAATCATTAACAACCCTATTCCTAACCGCAGCTTTTATCCACCTGCACCGAAATTGGAAGCTGTTTGAATTGCTACTTCTGACAGTGGTGAAAACCACTCGAACAGCTCGCTAATTACCCAACCATCCCTAATTTCCTCTCTCGCTTTTGATCATTTTCTTTCTCTCTTTGTTGCTCCACCAACTTGTGTTGAAGAAGATCTCAAAAACCCTAATTCGTTGTCTCAACCTCCAGCCGCGGCTACCTCCAAGTGTCAATCGCTGACCATCTTGTCGTTCGCCTTCGTGCCATCAAACCCCACATCCTGAAAGAATATTAAATCTGGATAATCAGAGGCTCACTACAACCGCTGCTGGCCTCGGTGAGGGAATTAGTAATTGTGATTGGGAAGATTTGGATGAACACTTTCCACATACCTTTCAATATATTTTTTTTTCTGATATTTACTGATCTAGTTAATGTTGATTGATTCAAAAGATTTTGGTTGTGTAATTACTTTTTTGTTTGTTTGTTTGGATAAGATTAAAGCTAGCAGTTTACACTCTTAAAAATTTTGGTGTTTTGCGATCAATTTGTCTTGTGATTAGTTATTATTTATTTTGATATGAAGAAGCTTGTTGCAATATTAGAGTAATTAGAATATTCGTATTTGTTAGGTTTTTTATTTGGATCACTCAAAATTTGTATTATTTGCTCTTATTAAATTAAGAAAATCTGAACAATGAGGTGCTGTGAAATGTGTAATTGAAATGCTAGTTTTGAGACAAAATGAGTCATCACCAACAGAAACTGTTGCTCCTGCGGTCGTGCCTTTTTATGCCAAGATTTGTTCTGATTATCTTCTAGGTAAGTTAAAACATCTTGAAACAATGCGCTTAGAAAGATAAGGTGGTCTTCTCTGATGATGAAATGGAAGAGGAATCCAAGCGTTGCCTTGGAGCCTAGCTTTTGTAGGATATTTACTTACAAAATAAAACTCTTTATGAAAATTTCTTACAATCCATTGCTAAGCTCTTGAAGCTAAAGGATATAGTTGATCTCATTTCCCTCATGGAAGGCTTCTTTCTCTTTAATTTTACATGTCTGGAAGATTTAAATATGGTGCTGGAAGGGGGACCTCGGTTTATCGGTGGAAATACCTTTATTTTTAAAAGATAGTCCCCTGATTTGCAACCCATTTAGGGATGATTTTCAAGAAGTTTCAATTTGGGTGAAGCTCCCCAATTTACCTCCTTGTTGCTAGTCTGAATGTAGGATTTCTAAGATTAGTTATATTAGAATACCTTTAACAGTCGATCCACTAACAGATAAAGGGCTTGGCTTACCATTGTCAGGGTAAATATTAAGATTAGTATATGCTATCATCCATGTTTCTATCATTATTAATGTTCGAAGGAAGGATGTTGTTCAACCAATCATTTATGAATGGAGGCCAACCAATTGTAAAGTCTGTTACACCTTTGCTCGTGATCCAAACTCATTCCCTAAGGCCCCAATTTTCAAACTACATCATATCTTTCCTCCTATTCATGGGCGTTGTAGCAAATGTAAATGATATAAATCTGATTTGAAGTAAACATCTTACCTACCCAAGGACACCTGAAATTACTCCTACACCGGATTTGAACATCCTTGCCTCCCTTCGCCTTCTTTCTAACTCCCCAGCAAACCACTCCCACCCACTGTTTTCACTGAAGACTCTCTACATAGCAATTCTCTTACATTAACCCAAGCCATAACTCCACATTGGAAGAATGTTTTCTACAAACATTTCTAATCAACTAAATTGTAATACCATACCCAGCACTTCCAAACCCAAAAAAGGCAGACTCAAAGGAAGTGCCATCCCTCACACAATAACTATCCTAAAACAACTTTTTGGCATGTGGAGATTTTAATGGTGATACTAAAATCAATGATCGTAGGAATTTGGTCAAAGACACCAGCCTTGATCTCATTTGTCTACTTGAGATGAAACTCAACCCTTCCACGATCTAATTCCATTTCTTCTAGGCACTTTTCTCTCTTCTACAATTAGAACAACGCTCATAACTTTTTTTCTTATAATGGTGGGCATGTATGAATTAAATGGATAAATGGATAGATGGAATCCAACCAATATTAATGTTTTCAGTTTTAGAATCTCGGCCTCAACATATTTATGGTAGGATCAAGTATTCAATCACAATAAATTTTACGATTACCTTTTCTTATGTTGAAAATGGCATCGTTTTAAAAATTAGATCGGATCGGCCGGTTTGATCGGTTCAATCGTGAACTAGTCATCCAGTTGGTTCAATCCAAGCTCAAAATAGTTCCCACATAAAATTAGGGTTGAATCAGTTAGAATTGGGGTTGAATTGGCGAACTGGTGAACCAGTCAATTTCTAAAGAACCGATCAGTTCAAATATTGTCCAATTTTAGCCTTTTAACTTTGATTAAATGTCTAGAAATAAGATATTTAAATTAAAAATAGAGAAAATATAATGTTTTAAATTTTTATGTAGAATTTTATTCAAAATATTCAAAAGTAGTGCAGTGTCTTAAATTAAAATTTTATTTGTTGAATAGATAAAAATGATATTAAAATATTATTTTTTTATTATTTAAATAATATTAAAATGATGGTTGGATCTTTAATGAGCACATAAAATTAACACCATACTCTTGCTTAACAATAGATCAAACATTGGTGGCAGGTTGCAACCCGTACATAATTATATATATCCTTTTTAGGTACAAAATGAAATAAAGCAACAATCATTAACCACTCAAATTTGTGAGTCAAGCGTTGCTCTTAAGTATGCATATACTTGCTTAAATCGTTTATTTACATCTAATTATTCATCATATGTACATTGCACAAAAAAAAAAAATGATGCGCATTTTGATGCGCATTTTAAGTAGCAAAAACATATTTATATCTATAAGTCGGTAATAAAATTTATATGCAAAACATATAGCATCTAATCTTTGATTTAATAGTAAGGAAAATACATGCTTCCATTACTTATGTAATAAAATCAATCATAAGAAAAAGTACTTAATGCATACACTTGGAAAATGAATTCGACACATCTAACTTCAAAAAAGCGTATTTTTGCAAGGGCGTTACTTTCAAAGTGGAATTGGCTCAATTATCATATAAAAGATTTGGTCCCTAATCTTTCCATCATCAATCGCATATCCATCTCCATTTTGGTATAAAAATTGTGCTGTTCTTGGTACACCTAGAATACCTTCTTTAAAAGATCCTATAGATGTTGAGAATTCAATGAGTTCTCCATTCAATTTTTTCCAAAAATTTCTCACCAAATGTCTTGTATAGTCTCGAGCAATTGATTCTGAAACATCTTTCTCTTTCATATAGCATTGAACTGAGTTTGCCTTTTCTCCTCTTGGGATCTCTTCCTTGAACAAAATAATATACAAATAACATCCTATCATGAACGTATAGTTCATACAAAAGAGAAAAGGAAACATCTATCTTGCATATTTGTATATAAAATAAATACTCAATTTTACCTTGCATGTTCCCAAATCATTATACAATCTAAAAAGCATAGATGAATATCAAACGATAGGTAGATAAAAGTTCCAACTTTTAAGAGTCTCAACAGTTGTGTCATCTCTTAAACAATATAATGTCGTTAGCACACAAGTTCCTGATACAGTAACCCAACCATTCTCCAGGTAATCAATCAAATTTGGAGTGTATCCATTATAAGTCCACTCTGCTTCAATTAAGAATCCTTTGCATATATCGACCCACTAGAGTATAATCAAACCTTTTTTTAGTTAGAAACGTTATCATAAATATATTATCTTCAAAAGCTTGAAGTTTTTGTTTCTTTCTAATTTGCAAATTTTTATGAAGAATAAAAAAGAAGGAAAAAGAAAAAAAAGGAATTCTTAGAAGAAGCTTGAATCCATTTTAAAACTTGAAAGGACATGCACAAATTGAAATTAATTTTGCATTACCATTCTTTTTAAGTATAGAAGAGCATCCAACTCTTTCTCTATTGAAAATGAGGAGGAAATATTATTCATTGTGCTGAAAAGTGCGGCCAAGCATATCTTCATGGGATCTGGAAGTTGTTGAGCTGTAGCTATGTTCCATCTTATAATTCCAAATAATTTCAGGTCACTATAGTAATATAGTAATATTATTTATCAAAAATTGAAAACCATAGATAATTTAAACTTCTTTTATGCACACTAAATTATTTTTTGCATTTACTTACTCTTCAATGGCATTTGTAAAGATCTTCAGTTCATCCAAGGTGCCATAGACATCATAAATATCATCAATTAATGCAATGAAACAATTTATTTTGGTAATTGCCTTCCTGCATCTCCAAAATTTAGGTTGAAATGTTTCCCCTACTGCCAATGAAAAGTTCTCTACCAGTCTATCTCTTGAAAAATTAATCTCATCCGAAACAAGACCAATATTTCTCCACCACCTGATGATCAAGCAATGAGCCGTTAATATTTCGTCAGTTTGAGAAGGACTGCCTATAGATGCAAAGAAAAAGACATTACCTGGACATTTCCTTAAGCTCAATCGTGTAGATACTCGGCACAATGTTAAAATCTAGTTTAGCCAGCTCGAGCAATACGGGATTAACATTCTCTTGTTTCCCATAAGCATCAATGTACCATCTAGTATGTAGCCTTGATAATCTCCAATGCAATGGTAGCTCTAAGGCATGATCGATTTCTTCAGTGAGCTCTTGGCTTAGCAAGGATCTATCAAGGTGGCTTAAATACTCAACGGCGAAGTCTCTCATCTCATCCAATACTTCCTCGCCTTCAACAGCAAGGTAGGAAGCCTCATATAAGCTTATTATTTCTTTGATATTATGTTGATGATTAAGTTGGAAGTTTTCTCTCACTTTTTTGAAACAACTGGTTAGAGCATCAACTCTGTCAATGATTTAGACATACTTGTTACAAAGATGACAACAAAATTGATCTAGTTTTTGAAATTAAATAAAGTTATTTTATCCATTGGTATTTACATATTTCAGCTGCAAGCATGTAGATGTGTATCAAATTCAATAGATATCAAAATATTAGGCTAGCTTACTCTGATGGCCTAAATAAATTACTACAAAAACTGAAAATCTTTAACATTGTTGGCATTCTAGATAAATATTACATCTGAAATGAATGAGACAAAGAATTTTATGACGGAGTTATCTTAGAACCTATTATTTAACCATATGTTAAACTATGTTTTTTAAGGATGGAAATCTTTCATAAACTTTCTTTTTACTGTAACGAAAAACAGAAAATCAAGGGGCATTTACATACATTCCCAAAATTCATATTTATTTACATATCTGACACCTCAAAATTCATATTTATACAATTCAAATCTTTAACATCACATAAAAAATACCTATATCACTACCTTTTTAAAAGTGAAATACACCTTTTCATGCATAAGTTTATGACACCAATATGTTATGTGTAAATATCTAGCTTTGGGGTTTAGATATGTAAATACAAAAGAATTGCATGGTATGTATGTAGATTTCCTTAAAATCAGTTATAGCTAACTAGGTATGATATCAGATAAAAACTAATGAAGAACAAAGCCAGTTACCGATAAAATTTTAGACTAGAAGTTTAAAGTGCATCATAAGTTGGCTTTGATCTATGACCTCTATTATGTCCTAAGAATTAGGAAACATTCTGCTTGAGCTAATTTGGTTTGATCTTCATTACAGAACCAACTAACCAATAAATGAAAATTTTATTTGCTTGCATGTGTTCTCACATTACCTTAATATTGGAGCATTATTAATGCCATGTTCCCTTAGAAGCCTAAAAAGCAAGGCAGAGCCATGAAGGTTGTTATTCAGTATCAAATCCTCTATATTCTGCTTTGATGAACTAATGGAATTCAACAAGTTCTTGATCTCTGAATTAAAATGATAGTCGAGTCCTAGCCGACGCATTGCATCTTGAAGTTCGAGTTGTTTGATAAGATCGTGTTGTTGTCCAATCAAATACCTCACTTCCTCCTTCAATTTATCCCTCCGATGTATATATTTCTCCTCCTGTGCAACTGTAATGGTTGTTCATCAACTTGTGTCATATTATAGTCTTTTGGCAAGTAAGCATTGCTATAACTGTAGCATTAATGATATAATCCTGATTATATGCCATGTATTATAAGAACCTAACATTATAAAATACCAAGAAATTTAATTCGGAGTCAAGTTGAATTTTATTGAAGTTGAAAATGAACTATTCATTTTTTACTTCTGAGTTGATTCAAGTCAAGTCTATTATTATTATTTTTAATTTATTGTTTCTTTTTAATCGGTCTTGGCTATATTGCATTTAGATCAAAGCCCAAACTATCATCAATCACAGTCCATGTATAGAGATCAAAAACCTTCATGCCTGGTTGACGTGTGTGAAATATGTCACATATTTTACTTTGTTTTCCTATAGTAATTACATTATTTGTATCATATTTATGTTTTTCTAGATAATACAGGGCTTAAAAGAAAAAATGAGCTCATTAACGTTTGGACACCCCAAAATAAATGCTGACATAACTACACTTTTTCTAGTGTATATATGTTACCGTTAGCGTAGATACAACCAAAATTAGTTTATACATTGGTAAATTGATTTATGGCTATATAACATATCATAATAACACATGGTAAAATCTTTGTCTTGAATCAAAATTTTATATTGAATAAAAGCTTACATATATGTGCTTATCTTTTCTAAACATTAATGCTCATACTAATAATAAGAATAATAATGATGATGATTTGCATACATATCATATAATTCTTATGTATTTAAATAGCTAGCACCTAAACTTTGATCTCACTTATGCGACATTCAAATCCTTACCATCATATCAAAAATGTAACTAAAGAATTTTAAAGTGAAATATTTATTTTCATGTATATATTTGGATGTGTCTATAACACTAAAGTTTCATTTAACTGAATATCAAAGTTTGAGTTAAATATATAAGCTCGTAAGATTTGTGTGAGATGTATGCATATCCTACTAGTAATTATCATAGCCTAATGTTATGTGTGAAGGATCCAAGGAAGATTTTCTTGAAAACCACACAAGAAAATTAAGTCATAAGCCATCACCGTGAAAGCAATTTGCAGTGACTGTATGTAGTTGTAATCCCAAAATGTTGGCTGATTTGTTGTGGGACGAGCAGGAGAAGATGAAGGGAAATTTGTTGTTGGGAGGCATCGTATGAGATAATATTTTGAAATTATTTGTTGACGGCCAATAAAAGCTGATGAGGAAAAAGAGCTATAGAGTGTTTGCATGTTGTTGTATGGAAACACAGGAAGTTGCAGAAGTAAAGCCATATTGATAAATAATGGGAAAGCCTTGTGCCTATTTATATTGAACTTTCTATGGCAATCCCATGTTGCAAGGGTTAGAAGTGTATATACACATTTTCATACAATAAATCTTTTTTAAATTATGGTTGAATCTAGTTATTTCAAATAAAATTTTAAATTATATATATTTTATTAAATCAATATCCTACAATAGTCAAGTCACTACCAATACACACACGAAAAAAAAGAAAAGAAAAGAAGCTATTTGATTGGCTTAGTGACTAGAATTTTACTCTCCTACAAATAAGTGCAAGTTCAAGGTCATGTTGTAAAATTTTAACCGACAACCCTAAAAAATGAGCTCGTTGGTTAAATTTTAGTGATATTTTCTTAATTTTCAATCATGTCAATAAAAAAAATACCCATACATTACAAGTAATTCCAATCAATTTTTCATTTTTTAGGAAAGTTGATTAAATTTGAGTGATATTTTTTTTAAATATGATAAAAACATAAAAATGAAGGTTACATTTTCTTATGATTTTGATATTTGAGTGAAATTCTAAAAGATAGACGCAGAAGAATGCCAATTCTATAAATATTTAAAATTAGAATATTCAGCTATTGTCCCTGCTCTCTTTCGTCCCAATTGATATTTTTATTTCCCAATTTGTGTAACATATTTATTTTTTTAACGAGTATTAAATCTGGTTGAATATTATTTGTCATCTTATCATAAGAGACACAACACAATGACTTACACTCATTCTTTTGTCTTTAATTTTTATAAATTTTAATTATTAAATATAAATATTTTTATAGATATTTTATCATAGGTGACCTCCTATTTAACCATTCATCTTTTTCCTACATCATTATATGTTTAAAGAATAATTAATATATTTTATCTTATTTTTGCCTTACAAAAAGAATTTTATCATGATTTAAACTTGAAACATATCAACAAATGTGACCATGCAACTTAATTTATATTTTCAATTACAAATGAGAAAGTATTTTAGGATTTTAGAGCCACCATAATTTTCATTGATTTCACAGTTTCTCAAAGTTGGTATTAGACTCAAATCTAATTGTCCTTGTTGAGCCCACTATCTTTTGGAAGGAATTAGATATTAAATTCAAGGAAGATATGCATACATACCACTAAATTTAATTTAATTGCTTTGTTTCATAACTCCTTTGATCTAATAATAATAATAAAATATCTCTGGCTGACAAATATGGTAAAGTGAGGCTATTAGTGCTAACATTTTTCTATTTCATGCTATGTGACGTTTGGTACCCATTAACTCAACTCCTTTCCTTTGATATCAAATAACGCATTTAGTTATTAAATATTTGTGTTTTAAGCTAAACAAGATGAATCATATAGAAAGACTCAATAATAATGTATAGAGGGTATTGGATGATTATATCTGCTTTATATCACATGTAACCTCACCGTAACCTACATGTACCTTCTATTAAATTTCGCGGTTCTGCTTTCATATATTTATAGGTTACCTGTAGGTTACAGGGAGGTGACATGGGTATAATGCATATATAACCCCTAGATATAAACCCACGATAATGTCTAAATATTTAAAATTTGGACTTACCGAACAAGCCGCTCGACTCTCATGACGACTCCTGACTCTCTTTACTGTTATCCCTCCTCTCTCCGGCAACAAATTGCCACCCCATGACGGCGAACTTTTACGCAGCCGCAGCGACGACGAACGTGCGTCGATCTCGTCTTAATCATTTCCTTAACTCGGAGCAGAGATATGCTTTTCCCCTAATCTCCGATGACCGACTAACTCTTTCTTGGAATATATACTCGTTTTTCCTTCAGAATTTCAAATCTAGGGTTTCGCTGAATGTTTCTTTTTTTTGAAAGATATTTTCTAGCCATTCTTCTCTAGGATTGTAATTTTGTGGAAACACCTAACATGTACTGTTTTTTTCTGTGATTCCGACCATTTGATATTTTCTAGCCATCCTTTACTTGTTGCAGAGCCAAGGAACCTCATGAGACTTAACCAACATAAATTAAAACCTAAATAGCAAAATTAGATCTAACAGAAACTGAAATTGAAACAAAGAAATCTTACGAACATATCTTCTACATGGATTGATTACAAATAATATACCCGACAGATTCATAAAAAATCTTTATACATGACTGATCAAGAAGAATTGAAAATAATGAAAAAATGCTAGTTGTCAATCTAATTAAAAGGATATATATAGTAGAATGTATGTATCTCAAACGCTAAAATAACAAAACCACCTGCAAACTGGTTTGTCTTTCCAACACTTATTAGCCATTTCTTTTCTTTGTAAATGTACCAGAATAGACTCAAGAATTTATGAAAGATAAAGTCATAAAGGAAAAATAGTAAAACATTAATAGATCTAAAGAAGAAAATGAAGGCAATATGATTTTTGTGGTTTTGTAAGATCTAATATTCAATTGATTACATAAGAAACCTTACATTGATCTAATTCTCCTCTTGTGATCTTCTTCCAAAACTCTTGATCAAGGGATAAGAAAGAAGGCTCTAATTAATCTCTCCTTCCCTCTCCTGGATCTCTCCAAATTGAGAAACCTATGCTCCTTTGATTGGTTATGATTCTCCCCTCTCCTTCTCCTAGTGTTTCAGACGTCCTCTTTTTTTCCCCCTGATTTTTGCTCTCTTGTTTTGAATATCTACTCCTATAGAGGTGATCAAGAGAGAACCAAAGAAAATAAGAACCCGAGAATAGGTATGACTACACAACAAACAAGAATACTACACAATTGAATATATGTATAATGGCTGAATTTAAAATAAAATCTAAGCTACTTATCTATTCTTTTTTACAATCTCCACCTTGTATAAAAAAAAATTGATAAACTAAGGCTTGGTTTTCTCTTTCACATATACTTAATCAAGATGCCTCCCAACCTAAAGCATGGTGAAGCAATGATCGATTTTGGCTTTGACCACTACCTTAGTCCATATATCTATAGGATCCTTATTTGTATGTACTTTTTAAACATTAATTGTGCCGTGAGCTAGAACATCTTTGTAAAATATAACCTTTTGTCAATGTTATTTGTTCTTTCAAGAAATAATTGATTTTTCATTAGCTAGATTGCACTTTGACTGCCACATTATATAGTTTTCATTTCATTGTTCTCTAGCTTCTCTAGTAATCTTTTCATCTAGAGACCTTCATTTGTAGACTAAGTAGCAGCCTTGTATTATGCTTTGTGTTGATAAAACAATAAATGAATTGTAGAACAGATTTAGAGCTCCCTTTTTTTAGGTACATGGCGAAGACATGTCCAATTGATGATTTACGTTTATATAGATAATTAGCATAAGCGGAATGTACATAACATCAATTTACAATTTGCACCATTTTTTTTTTCTTGTAGAAGTCTATCTAACATCAACACCCACTCTCAAATACATGAAGATCCCACTTGATAACCTTTAAAGAGTCTCTCATAAGTTTCGCCATTTTTCTATTGGAATAAAAATGAACAAGGGAGGGTACCTTTTTATAGGAAAAGAGAATTATCATGTGGGGTTCACTGGAAGGGGTTTTAAATATAATTTTTTAATAGTATGTTAATTACTCGAGGAGTTTCAACACACTTAAAATTCTTATCATATCCACAACACTTCTACATGCTCCAATCGATATTTTGGATGTGTAAGTTTAATGATCCGAGAAT